CCCAACCCAAAGGCCCAAAAGTCAACTATAAGTCAAAGCCCAACATATGGCCCAATTTTCTAAATTGGGCCCAAACCTCTACATGGTCTTCCTTTAAGGCCCGACCATTTAGTCCAATCCAAACATTTGGCATTCTAATGGCCCAACATCATATAATCATCAAGGCCCAAACTATGGCCCATCTATGGCCTAATTTTCTAAATTGGGCCCAAACCCTCATATGGGCCTTACCCTAAAGCCTATCTAAATATTCTTGTCTATATGATCATTCTTGGGTGGCCCATTATTGGCCCAATTACTAAAACCCAATAGAAAGGCCCAACTCAAGGCCCAAGTGAAATTAAGGTTTAACATAAAATGACAATTAGGGTTAAGTGTTTCTCACTTAACCTATTATGGACTTAATACATGAAGTCCATCACTTTAGTAGATAATTCATATGGTGTGAGTGGGTGTAATTTTCAATTCCAATACAATGGCCCAAATGTGGGTCCCGATAAGTCCAAGGCCCATATATCCAAAATTAGGGTTTTCTAAACCCTAATTAGGGTTTCCAACCCAATCATAGCCCAATAGGCCCAACAACTAGGTCTTTTGATCAATTAGGGTTTATTAGGCCCATTAGGGTTTCGCTAGTCGGGCACCACCTACTACCACCTCGGGTAGTGGTGGTCAATGATGGCTCACGATGATAGTTAGGGTTCTAGTCCAATCGAGTCCAAACACTCAAAAAGCAATCCAAACACAAACTAAGCACACTGCCACCCAACATGGCGCCCGATGGCGGCAGCCACCACCCTACGGTGGCAGTTTAAGTTTCTTTCCATTATCCTACTTTCTAATTACATTTTACAATGCTAAACCCCAAATAACACACACAAACACACACTCTAATACAAACACACACAATCCAAACTGCAGAATACACTCCAACCATCTACTTGGTGGCTCACGGCGGTGACAACATACACACAAATGGCGGCAACATCGGTTAACGACGGCAAAAGGTGGCTGCCACCACCTCGCGGTGGTGGCTGTGAAGTTCCTTTGGTTTCCTGGCCAAGCAAAACTCCATACAACATTAAACTTATGCAATACATTCATACACCCGCTAAATCATGCACACAGCCACCTCCTCACGGTGGCTGGTGGTGGTGGAAGATGATTATATGGCGGCAGCCACCATGGTTGGCATCCATGGTGGTTTTTCCTTGGGTTTTTAGTCCAATCAAACACCCACAAGCACTTCTCGGTTCCACAACAACACCCATCAATCCAAGGCACGAAATCACAGCTCTCAACCACCGGCTAAGGGGGCTAAGGAGGCTGGAACAAGCAAAAATGGCAACCATAGGTACACCGGCATCAACGACTGACGTTCGTGACATCAATCCACGGGAAGAACGAAGGAGAGGAGAGAGAGAGAGAGAGAGATAGAAAATGGCCTTATTCGAGGATTTATGATCGCTCATGACCACGCAAATGTGAACTAGGCCCATTCGTTAGCCCTGACGGTCGTCCCGTTTCCTCCCAGCGTCACCGGGGAAGGGAGAAGTGGCGGTGACCACTAACTCATCGATACTTACAGTCACCGGAGACGACTGGTGGTTGTCGAGGCCAACACAAATAATAACCCTAAGTATTACACACTAAAATAGTGTATAGTGGTAAAGGGATCGAATCCACGGAGATTGGTTCAATTTGATAACTCTATGAAAAATCTCTTTGTAAAAATACTTGTGAAATAACAATAAAAATAAAATGGGGGGTTTTGGTGTTTTGAAATACTTGAAACAAACTAGAGTTAACTATGATTTAAATAGACAAATGCAACAAAAATAAGAGTTTGATGTAAAATCAATAAGGGAGAGATGGTTGACTTAAAGTTTCCTCACTTTGACTTTTGATGAACATATCATTAGAATCCAATAGTGCAATACTTTGATTTAAATCCTTAATTTGGTTATAGTAATCCAAGGAGCTTGAGATTACCTAGACTTTTCTTAATTGTTGAAATGGCTAGAGAAGCTCATAACAATTTCCTTAGTCAAAGTCACTAATTCCAAATAGCATGTAATTAGTGAAAGTCAACTAGCATTAAGAACCAAAAAATCACCAAATCCAAGAGGAGTCAATTGCTTTCACCACCATGTTGGAGGAAATGTTTTTATGATTGTGTGAAGCAAAAACAACACAAAAATCACTTGTTGCTTGCTAATTTGAGGATCATTTACTTAATCAAGAAATTAGCCAACTAATCACCACAAACATATTTAAACTCATGAATAAAAACATACTAGTAGTGATAATATGATGAAACACAAAACATTTCCATAAAGATTCAAGAACAAGTTCATAGATTCTTCAACATCCAACAAAAGTTCAAAGGATTCAACAAAAAGTCAACCAAGATTTGTTTAGCCAAGCATGGCTAAACTCAAATGAACAAAGTTAGATAAGATTGTACCAAACATTTGACAAGATTCAAGAGGTGAAAAGAAGATGTTCTTCAAGTGTTCTTGGCCTCCAAAAGTGCTCCAAACTCCAGAGAGAAAAGCTCAAAATCGGACCTCCAAGATTATCCTAAAGAGGCACACCAACCTTCCCAATATAGAGCTCTAAGCAAAATCCCGAAATTGCCCTTGTCAGGAATCCACGCGGGCCGCGGGTAATCTTACGCGGGCCGCGGGTACTGACGGGAATTTTGGGCTTCTTCAAGTCTTGGGCCCCCACAGCTAATCCATTGGCCCAGTTCGAGTCCAATCAGCTTCTAGCCCATTTTTCTTCAATGTTTCTTCAATTTGAGCCCAATTTGTCTTTCCACATCACTCAAAACTTCCGCAAACTCCCAAATATTGATCTTGCATACTCAAGAATTCTCCCGCATCTTTCAAATTTAAAGCTCAATTCTTCCAAGCCTTCAAGCAATTGACAAGTCCACCCCATGAATCACCTTCATAGCCATCAAGCATGAAATCTCCAATTCCCTTCAAGCCCAATCGCCTCCCAAGAGTGCCGCCCCGCTAGTTTCCAAGAAAAATCTGCAATAATGCTCAAGAAACTAGAAAGTACCCGAAATGGTCATAAAAATAACAAAAAGGGAAAATATGCATGGAAGTTAACTAAAATGCGAATGAAATGTACTAAAATAAACTATAAAAAGAAGTAAATAAAATGAAGCTATCAAATCACCCCAAGCTTAAACCTTACTTGTCCTCAAGTAAGACAAGACTAAATGAACTTGGGATGAACTACCCTAGAAATAAAAAGAATGGATAGAACCATGGAACCTGTTCGACGTTAGTCAACATGGTCAGAATTGATTTCGCTGCTATCTCACAACTTTTTCATCCGATGACAATGGAACCATAAACCACAGCCAGGACAACTCCTTTAGGTGAGTAAGGAGGGATGAGCAGTCGCAGCCTCAATGGAACATGTATACAATGAAGAACATCTGTAGTAGGGAGAAAGCAACTGGATGGGCTCGGGTGGAGCTCTTCTTTAAGTGCACACTCTGATCTCACATTTGCCGGTTTCTCTCATGTGTAACTAGGTTTAATCGCTCGGGCACCGTTGTAGGAATCAGTTCACTTAGTGTTGACCCAAACCTCCCGTAGTATCCGACTCGACAGTCTCTCTAACATCACCAATTTGTGAGAAAGAAAGAAAAAAAATAACAACTCGATCTATATACAATAAAACAGACCTATACAAATGAATATCAAACGCCGGGTGACCAAGATGTTAGGAAATTTGTTCAATAATTGAACCGGCCACCTATCTAAGATAGTTGCAACTGAAAATTTGTGTGCTTCTTTTTGTTTTTGTTTTTGTTTTTTTTTTTGTTTGTTTTTTTTTTTGTTTGTTTTTTTTTTTTGATGATAAAACCCTTTGACTCAAAATTTGGTTCCCAAAGGTGTGTAGGTGGAACCGAAAGGGTAATGATATAATCCGAATGGCCTAAGTGTGAAAATGACCATGTGTGGAGCATAAAGATGTAATGTAAGCTCCTTTTCAACTTGCAGTTTTTCAAAGATAATGAAAATGTCCAAATGTGGACTAAAGACTCTCTAAAATTCTAAGAAAATCGCAAAAAGATATGGTGATGTAAAGAGACCGGATATGGATTCTACTCGGGGACAAGCACCAATGCTTCATCCTAACAGTTCAAACATGATCAAGTGTGATCCTCTCCGCGGTAGTGACCGCAAGGCTAAGAACACCCATTGCTATAGTATATCCTACAGTTGTTAGTATTGTATGCATAATTCTTCATGAAACTACCTGGCCATGATCACTTACCCCTTTAAGCTACCAGCATCTGATCCCAAGTATGAAATCCCAAACTGCAGCTAGTGGTCCCGATTCGATGGGTGAGATAGCAACAAGATCCTGGACCAATAATGATACAATAACTGTGAACCTGTTCCATGGCATCCAAGAGAGGTGAGAATAAACAGACAACAAAAATGCATGAATGCTAATGCCTTAGGCTAAATGTTATGCAAAAATATTAAAGGTGAAAAAGAAGAAAATAAAATCTTTTTGAAATTTTAAATTAAAAAAATGAATGAAAATTAGCTTAATACTAAAATGTCATGCAACCTAGCTAAAAATGTATGAAAAAGTAAAAGATAAGGGAAATGCCCCACCCCAAGCTTAAGAACAAGCATTGTCCTCAATGCTTAAGGAAAGGGCGGAAAGGACCTAAATCGGTGGGTCGGGCGGCGGGAAATGCCCGTGACGATAATGGTAGTCCCACATATCTTGGACCTGGCGGGAAGTGGGAGGGAAGGAGTGCTCCAATCGTTCAACGCGACTCGCCACATCTTGGATGGCTCTCGTGTTCTCTTGCGTTTGGGTGTCGATACGCTGCACCGTGGAGAACATTGTGGCAAATTGGTCAAAGAAAGTAGGGGGAAATATGGTGGAACTTCGTATCCCCCCTGCTGCTGCGGCTGAAACTGAGGCTCGACGAACTGCTGTGCAGGCTGAAATTAGGGCTCGGCGAATTGTTGTGCAGGTTGAAATTGGTCATCCTCATCATCTACAGGTGGAGGGTAGTCTGATGGAATGATCCATTGATCGGGATCGGTCGGTTCAAAACTCTCGATATACTCATGAGGGAGAATGAGGTATGGTTGGTTGTCAAGGATCCACATGGGCCCGACAACCGAATCCCGGATGAGTTGCATTCGGCGAAGTGCGTTGCCGTCAAGACTAGAGGGGCCGGAAGCCTTCTCGAATGGAAGAGTAGAGAGATGAAGTTGAAGCGGTGGCCGGGATGCAATAAGGGTGATTAATCCCCCAATGAAAATGTCTCCTTTGTCCATAGTTGTGAGGTTGTAACACTTGGTGAAGAAAAAGGAAGCAAAATCCGGCCGCGGACCGTTCTCACGAGTCATGCACCAAAGAAAAAATAATTCCGCCTTTGAAATCTGTCCCACTTCGGAGCGGGCGAAAATGGTGCATGTGAGAACTCTATGCGCTAGGCGCAAACATGGGTGAATTATGGAGGAGGCCTTTGACGAAGACGATGAATATTGTGGCTCATTGGTAATTTGTTGCCAAAAGTAATGTTCATTGAAGTTTCCGGGCCATGGGTCTTGTTGGTAATATAGGTTGTCCACGGGAGCACCCATCAAAGCATTCACGACCCGATGTGGTAGAGATCGTTTCTCGCCGAGGATTTGGAAGGTGACGGTTTGGGCTTCCTCCTCGGGATTGAATGTGGTAAGAAATTCCAAGGTGGGTTCAACATAGGTGGCGGCGCGGTTATGGAGGAATTGACCCCACCCGATGTTGTTAAATAACGCTTGGACTCCATCGAGCACCCCAAGACTAGCAAAAGATTCCCTATGGAGGAATTTTGTTGACTTGACTTGACGCTTATTAGAAACGAGAAAATCATAAGTTTTACGATCCTCACGATTCAACAAACGAAACGGGGGATCCTTGGATTTTCCCTTCGATCCTCCTTTAGAGGAAGTTGCTCCCGTCCCCGTTTTTGCGTGCTTGAACATTTATTCGGGACAAAATTTTACCGATAATAACTTTCAACCACAACAAATGCACACAATACCAACAACAAATGGGAAATTGAGGTATGAACAATCAAGTTAAAAGAATGAGATTACCCAATTTCTTAGACCGGGATGAACTAGTGCCACCAAAATGATTTCGTCAAGACACACCCCAAGCTTGCAATTTTGCTCCGTATTTGATGCTTTAATCGCTAAAACAACCCCACAAACTAGCTTCAAGATGACTTTCCGGCGAATGGAGTAGCAGCACTCGGAATTTGATGGAAATTTTTCGTGAGTTTTTGCAGAAAGATTTGTATGACTAGAAAGCTCTTGATGAGAGAAACAAAACCCCGTGCTCGGATTCTCCAATGGTGGCCGGAGTTGGCCGGAAAACGCGAAAATATGTGGTGGTGGGTGGTGGTGGCGCCCGGAGTTCCGGCCACAGATCGGACCGGAATTTGGGTGGGGTTTGTAGAGGAAGAAAAATGGAGAAGAATGGCGGTGGTTTCGTGAGATTCCGACCGGTAGAACTCCGGGAAAATGGATTTTTGTGAGAAGTGGGTTTAGTGTTCTTGAGCTTCTAGAGAGAAAATGGGGGAATTGGTTAGGTTAGAATGAAGAAGAAGAGTGTTGGAGGTGTTTAATCTTTGTTCAAAGAGGGTCAAACCCGGTCAATGTTTGGTCAACTCATTAAATCTCTTGGTCAAAGAAAGTCAAGGCAGTCAACAGCTCAAAATCCCAATTAAACGACCAACACGCGGGCTGGGCGCGGGCCGCGTGCTGGCCGCGTCTACCCTGCTCGAATTTTTTCTGACCTTACGTGCGGGTGGAGCTCGGGCTGCGGGTTGGCCGCGTCTAGCATGCTCGAATTTTTTCTGACCTTACGCGCGGGTGGAGCTCAGGCTGCGGGTTGGCCGCGGGTACTGGTTACTCAAAAAAATCTCCTAGTCTTTTGAAAACCCACGCGGGTGAGGCGCGGGCCGCGTGCTGGCCGCATGTACTGGACTGAATTTAAGCTTAACCCCACGCGGGCTGGACTCGGGCCGCGGGTACTTCTGCACATCAAAAATGAGAGTTTTCCAAAACACTTGATTTTTTAAGCCAAAACGATCCCCTTAAGGCCCGGTAAAAAAAAAAAATTTTGACAAAATTTGGAGTAAACGGGGAACGTTTGGTGAAATCTTTCAAAATTTTATTTGAATTAAAAAAAAATGGTGAAAGCACATTGCTTTCCAAAAATGCCCTTCTTTATCGTCTTTGGCGAGACGTCCTTCTAGCTTTCTTCAACACATCGGGGCATCCAAATGGATGACTTCAAGGGCATTAGCATTGAAACCTTCATAGAATGGCTTCAACCGGTGCCCATTGACTTTGAAGGTTTGTCCCGTCTTTTCGCTTTGAATTTCCACCGCCCCATGGTTAAAGGTCTTAATCACAACGAAAGGTCCAATCCATCTTGACCTTAGCTTGCCTGGAAATAACTTCAATCGTGAATGGTATAGTAAGACCCTATGCCCCACCTCAAAATGCTTCCGGGAGATGGACTTGTCGTGGAAGAGCTTTGTTTTCTCCTTGTAAATCCTTGCGTTTTCATAGGAGTCATTTCTCAATTCTTCTAGCTCTTGAAGTTGAAGTTTCCTATGCCTTCCCACCTCATCAATGTTGAAATTGCATTGTTTGACCTCCCAAAATGCACGGTGCTTTACCTCGACGGGAAGGTGACATGGTTTTCCAAAGACCAATCTAAACGGGGACATTCCTATCGGGGTCTTGTACGCAGTCCGATAAGCCCATAAAGCATCTTCAAGTCTCAAACTCCAATCCTTCCTTGTTGGATTCACTGTTTTCTCTAGAATGGACTTCACTTCACGATTTGAAACCTCCGCTTGACCATTCGTTTGAGGGTGATAGGCTGTGGAAACACGATGGGTCACGTGGTACTTCTTCAATAGAGCCTCCATCATTTTGTTGCAAAAGTGTGTCCCTCTATCACTAATCAAAGCCCTAGGCACACCAAACCTTGCAAAAACATTAGACTTTAAAAACTCGATAACTGTTTTGGCATCGTCCGATCTTGTGGCTTTTGCTTCAACCCATTTAGAAACATAGTCAACCGCGAGTAAAATGTAAACGTTGCCAAATGAGACGGGAAATGGGCCCATGAAATCGATCCCCCATACGTCAAAAATTTCACAAACAAGGATTGGATTTTGGGGCATTTGGTTTTTATGCGAAATGTTTCCCGTCCTTTGGCATCGCTCACAACTTTTGCAAAACATATAACAATCGCGTGACATGGTTGGCCAAAATAATCCACACTCAAGGACTTTTCTCAAAGTCCGGTTAGGTCCAAAGTGTCCCCCACAAGCGAATTCATGGCAGAATTGCAAAATGGATTGGTGCTCTTGTTGGGGTACACATCGCCTAATGATTTGATCGGGACAATGTTTCCACAAATAAGGCTCATCCCACACATAATATTTTGCATCATTTTTCAACTTGTCTTTTTGAGCACGTGTGAATGTGTCGGGATACCTTTTTGTGACCAAAAAGTTAACGATATCGGCATACCAAGGAATAGATTGAGTAAGGGAAAAGAGATGCTTATCCGGAAACTCGTCCAGCAACGGGAGAGGAGTTTCGTTTGAAGTGATCCGGCTTAGGTGATCGGCCACAAGGTTCTCGCACCCGCTCTTCTCCCGGATTTCCAAGTCAAATTCTTGTAACAGTAGGATCCATCGGATGAGTCTCGGCTTTGCATCTTTCTTTGTCATCAAGTACTTGAGAGCCGCATGATCCGAATACACTATGACTTTGGTGCCAAGTAGATATTGTCGAAACTTCTCCAGAGCAAACACTATGGCCAATAGCTCCTTCTCTGTGGTAGAGTAGTTGCTTTGAGCATTGTCTAGTGTTCTTGATGCATAATAGATCACATGGGATGCCCTCCCGTTCTTTTGACCCAAGACGGCGCCTATCGCGTAATTGCTTGCATCACACATGATCTCAAAAGGAAGATCCCAATTTGGTGCTTGCATGATGGGAGCGGATGTAAGCAACTCTTTAAGCTTGTCAAAAGCTTCTTTGCACGCCTCGTTGAACTCAAAATCAACCTCCTTTTGCAAGAGCTGGCACATTGGTCTTGTTATCTTTGAAAAATCCTTGATGAACCTTCGGTAGAAACCTGCATGGCCCAAAAAAGAACGAACTTCCCGAACACAAGTCGGGTAAGGTAAGCTTTGAATAACATCAATTTTGGCCTTATCTACCTCAATCCCTTTTTTAGACACAATGTGACCCAAAATGAGACCTTGACTCACCATGAAATGACATTTCTCAAAATTCAAAACCAAGTTTGTTTCAATGCATCTTTTTAAAATTTTTGTGAGATTGGTCAAACATTCTTGAAAAGAGTTGCCATATACCGTGAAATCATCCATAAAAACCTCAATTATGTTTTCAACATATTCCGAAAAGATGCTAACCATACAACGTTGGAAAGTGGCCGGGGCATTACACAATCCGAATGGCATTCTACAGTATGCGAAAGTGCCAAATGGACATGTAAAAGTTGTCTTTTCTTGGTCCTCCGGTGCCACCGGAATTTGGTGAAAACCATAGTACCCGTCTAGACAACAATAATGGGATTTCCCAGCCAACCTTTCTAACATTTGGTCAATGAAAGGCAATGGGAAATGATCTTTTCGTGTGCTTGCATTGAGTTTGCGGTAGTCAATACATACTCTCCACCCGTTTTGCACACGGGTGGGGACCATTATACCTTTGTTGTTTTCGACCACCGTGATCCCCGTCTTCTTTGGAACGACTTGCACCGGGCTCACCCATTTGCTATCCGAGATTGGATAGATCATCCCCGCATCTAGGAGCTTCAAAATCTCTTTCTTGACCACTTCCATCATCGGCGGATTCAACCTTCTTTGTGCATCCCGTTTCGGCTTGCATTCATCCTCCATTAAGATTTTGTGCATACAAGTGGAGGGGCTCAATCCCTTGATATCCGCAATCGTCCATCCCATGGCTTCTTTATGCTCCTTCAACACCTTGACGAGTTGTTCTTCTTCAAATTCGGTTAAGTGAGTTGAAATGATAACTGGAAGGGTTTCATTCTTCCCCAAATAGGCATACTTCAAGTGTTGAGGTAAGACCTTCAATTCCAATTCAGGTGGTTGAATAAGGGATGGGGGCAATTTTGTATGAGTTGGGGGCAATTCAACTTGCTTGACATCTAATCTTGTGGATTTCTTCATCTCCATTTTATTTACTAGCTTCTCAACTTCCGGATCCAAATAATAAAGTTTTAATAGCTCAGCTAGCTTTCCACAATCGAACCCTTTGCTTAAGATCATCTCCAATATATCACCGTTGGATAACTCGAACAATTCTTGAGTAATTGGCTCGACAACATCAACAAATTACAAAGATGAAACATCACTAGGATATCTCATGGCATCATAAATATTAAAACTTATTGTTTCACCATCAAACTCCATTGTCAAACTTCCTGCATACACATCGATCTTTGTCCTAGCCGTCTTCAAGAACGGTCTCCCAAGCAATATTAGAGCCGATTTGGATGATACTTGCTCATCTAGATCAATCACATAGAAATCCGCCGGGAAGACCAATTGGTTCACTTGCACTATGACATCTTCCAAAACACCTCTAGGAAAGACACTTGATTTATCCGCAAGAGAGATAATGACACCGGTTTCACTTAAGGGTCCGACATTCAATGATTCATACACGAGTAGGGCATAACGTTGATAGAGGCACCAAGATCAAGCATAGCACTACTAAAAGTGACATCCCCAATCTTGCAAGGAACCGTGAACATTCCGGGATCTTTGCATTTGGGTGGAAGTTTCCTTTGTAAAACCGCGGATGCGTTTTCATTCATCAAAATTTTCTCATTTCCCTTCAACTTCCTCTTGTTGGTGCAAAGTTCTTTCAAGAACTTTGCATATCTTGGAATCTGCTTGATCGCATCAAGTAGAGGGATGTTTACTTCCACCTTTCGGAAGGTGTCCAAAATCTCTTTCTCCTCCATATTCTTCTTTGAAGTTGCAAATCGGGAGGGGAATGGTGGTTGAGTGGCTATTGGTGTTACTAGAGGGATGGACTTCTTTGGAACTCCGGCTTGTGCATCGTTCTTGACTGTAGGTTCTTCAATGGGAATGATCTCTATTTCTTCCTCTTCTTCCCTTGGCTTCTTCTTTGAACTACTTTCTCCGGCTTGCTTGCCACTTCTCAAGGTCACCACATTGACATTTGGGTTCTTTTCGGTTTGAGAAGGGAGTTTACCACGAGATTCCAACTTGCTTATAGATGTAACTATATCTCCCATTTGTGCTTCAAGGTTGGAGATACTAGTCCTTGTCTCTTTTTGGAATTGTTGGGTACTAGTGGCTAGAGATTTGACAATGTCTTCAAGAGACATTCCGGAGCTACTTGGTTGAGATTGAGGAGATTGTTGATGATGATGTGGAGGGTGCGGTTTGGATTGATAGTGTGGTTGTTGATGTTGGTATTGAGGTTGTGGTGGTGGATAGGACGGTCTAACCAATGCATTGTGAGGCAATGGTCTTGGGTTGTAGCTTCCGTTGGGTTTGGCTTCCAACTTGAATTATATGCATTTTGGTACCCGGATGGTTTGTTGTGGTAGTTTTGGAATTCTCCCGTGGCATTCACATGCTCCGCATCTTCTTGAAGGATGGGACACATATCCGTAGGATGTCCCATGGTTGCACATATTCCACAAACCATCACTTGTGGAGTTTGTCCCATGGCTAGCTTTTGGACGACGGATGTTAGATCTTTTATTTGAGACTCAAGATTCGATGT